GATTGCTCCCCGCCATACAACTTCGCAGGAATCCCACCAGATGGCATACGAGAAAGATTCTTATAATTTTAGCCAGATGGCATTTATCACTGGCACTGACATACTGGTTCGTTTGGAATTTGGTAATTTGTTATGGACACGCGCTTCCCACGAGAACATACTCCGCGTGATCTGTACTCTTTTATATGGGCGCTTCTCCCGGACCTGCAGCAACGAAAACCTTGGTCAAGACTAAAACATGTCACAGGAACCTACAATGTATAATTACGTTTATATTATTTTCATACCTTACAGCAGGGTACTCTGTTCACACACCTTGTCCCAAAGGACCACAACATAACAGTCTCATACAAAGCACCGCAGATTTTAAATTAAATTAATGTTTTGTTAGTAGTTTCCTCAAACTATATGCTGTTCCCAGAACAGCCGCTTCTGCACTTCCGCGCTAGAGTGCTTACCAGGATATCTTGAAATACTTCCGAAATAACATGCTTCCAGAACACTTATCATTACTGGCATCGCATTGTACATACACTGTATTTCAGCCGGCCTATCTCTCAGGTTCACTGCGTTTTCATCTGTCAGTAGAGAAACGGCTGCATGGTATGGCTCTCATTGTTGTAATTCGTTGATTCAGCCTGCATCGAACCAACGCACAGTGTAGTACATACCTAACATATACACGCCCAGGCTAAGAAACGCATGCATCATATTATGATCACATAATAACACAATCTATATGGGGAAATACGCATACCCAAACTATCACACATTCGTAACAACTTATGTATCTCTGACACTTACCCCTGGGCTTCGTTCCCACCTCATGACTCAAGGTACGCGGGTTCAAACCCGGCGGAGGTCGTGGAATTTTTAAGGGCGGAAAAATTCAGGGACCAAGTCCTCCGGGAGGGACTTTAAGCCGTGGGTCCCGTGTCGTAGATTTACGGCACGTAAAAGATCCTCATGTCTCTAGGAGACCTCTGAGCAAAATTAGGCAAGTTTCCCGCCCAAGTAGTTTCCAATGCCTCTGGTAGATGGGGGAAATATCGGGTACCGAGGGCCGACCTCGTTGGCTGAACGGGGCTGATAGCACCCACCAGTACCGGTAGGGTATGGCGACTGGTAGAATATCAAAGGGGGACGTACAATAGACTATTAGTCGCGGTGCATGGGGAAACCCACCCCTTCCAATAATAATAATAATAATACCCCTGGGCTTCACGACCTGGTCTTACTACGTGGATGCTTCTAACAGCAAGGATCAACAAATTAGATAATATGCCTAATACTACACTGCACCACCAGAACCTTAGAATTAGCTTGGCATATATATACTCTTAATAAGTTTTAATAATATATTTTAAATACATTATATTTTGTAATATAATCAACATATTTATATACAAATTTAATATATTTTTTTATTTTATATACTTAATTGTAATACTTATTACCAACTTGAGGTAAACTTTCTGTTATCATACACGTAATACGACACGGTGCACTAGTATGGATCCATATCAGTAATTCAATGGCTAGACGTATTCCATATTAACTGCCTGATGATGGTCCAGTGTGACCGAAACGTAGCAAAATAAAGGTTTAATTGTAAACATTAAAAGGGAGTATACATCTGTTGTGGTGAGGGTTTAACATAACTACTATATGTATGTTTGGAACACACAACAGGATCCCCAGCGCACTGACTCGATTATTCAGGTCTGTTTCAAACGGTTTTGGTATACGTCACTACCGGGTTACTTCAACCTCGTTTACTGATGCTGAAACACACAGTAAATATAAGAAGCCCTTATCGCGAAATTTTTACGTGTTCTTCCTTAGCTACAGCCGAACATCAACCTTATTAGCCGTTATTATAATATACTGTCACGTATTCGGGGTTGGCGTGACTAATAATAGTGGGTTCTGAATCTCATGATTGGATTTACTGGCACTTCTTTACAATTACAGTTGATTATAATAGCTCAGATATTTATCTCCTTCTGAACGTCTGTCTGTCTGACGAATCTCTATGAAGAACCTCTCACTAATCTCGGACTGATCTCTACCACTCGAATTCACGAATGCACTGTCTTTTATAACTGACACGAGGCAGGGATAGAAGTCACCATGTGGACCAGTTTCTCTGTTCTTTTGTGTTCTGTTGCCTTTGTTAACGTTCGTTGTCATGGAAACAAGTGCTTACCTAGCCTTTGGCTAGCAAATGGTCATACTCCGTCACAATATCATCAAATTTGTATCATTTAGAGGAAAATGTGCATGTGTTTAGTGTCACGTAGTACAGAGAGCAGCGGCCGCGGCATTAGACCGCTCGAAAGTTGCTGTCGTGGTATGGAATCCTGCACGAACGTGCATCGGCCTTGTTCTCCGTTGTAAAGCTTTTCAATGGTCCGAACCACTGTCCAAGAAATCAAACAAATATCAAACCATGTAACATTTGAGGTTTTCACGGCGGTGACTATGAAGAAAGCCGTCTTCTGGGATGTGGCGCCGTGCAGAAATTGTGTTAACCGACGTTTAGAAGGAACAGACCTGTTGCGCCTGCTCAAGCTGGTTCGCTTGTAGATTTCTTCTCCTCTTATACTCTGAAAATGGAGGCGTTACGTTCATCCGAAACGTCAGTTAACACAACTTCTATGTGGTGCCACATCCCAGAAGACGGCTTTCTTCAAATATCAAACCATTCAGTTTCAATTTTGAATAGGAAAAGGCCAAAGGGCATAATCTGTAATAACTGAAGGAGATTTGGATGCTACGTACCGTGCATTAGGAAATGATAAACTGTTCTTAGAGCGGAGAAGCAGAACATAAATTTTACTGACTGTACTAACGTGCAGAGGCGGAAACATGCTGAGTCACGAGTCATTAGAACAGGTAAGGATATAACAATCATTTCAATTTTCTTCTTCCACAAGCAAGCACAGATCTGCGCAAGCTCTGACCTCCCACGGAGTGACCTCTCCTCTCTATTCACGTTACACCAGCTTACCTTTCTTATTAATATGACTACAAGCCTCAAAGTTCTATTTCAGAAGTCGCAGATCCTTATTTCAGTTCAGAATGTACAGCCTTCGTACTCCTTCAGATCCTGAATGCACAACTGCGCCATCAAAGCATTGAATAGCGGCAATGCCGTAAATACGTAACACGGAGCAGAATCACAAAGATAATTAGTCGAATGGGAAGAAGAAAAGACGCTGAAGAAAATAAGGAGGTGGGATAAAGAAGAGAATATGAAGGCAATAAGGAAAAGAGAAGAAAGAGAAGACGATAAGAAACGAAGTTATTGTTTTCCACGTCTTCTCTCAACCTGCACGCAGTATTTAAAAACCACAGCTCCATAAAAACTTTCTTCCTGATGACTTTCGGTCTGAAAGGGATACTTCAATTTCACAGTGTATGGTGCAGACCGCCGACACAAAAGCATTTTTTTACCAAGTGCGGCAGACATTAAATTCATCAAAGTGATCCCAGCACACCACAACCACGTTTTAATTACTACCCAGAAGGCAGGGCTCTGCATCCCATGAGCGTCTATCGCAAAGAGCAGAAAAGCCAACAAAAATTAGCATGTGCTCCGCTCAATCGATTAGAATTCGATTTCCGTAAGATTTACTATGGGTCACATTTTTTTTATTGCTAGTGGGGTGGGACTAAGTCGCTTGTACTGCGGCCACTTCTGGCCTATTGTACCAGCCCCAGATGATAGGTGAGGGTGATTGTGGAGCAAATGGTGGAATGAAGATTGGCAGGGGAAACCGAAGTACTCGGAGAAAACCTGCCCCAGCGCCACTTTGTCCACCACAAATCCCACTTGACCAGACACCGGGATCGAACCCGGGCCGCCGTGGTGGGAAGGTAGCTGGAGTTCCTCTCTAGGACGATATGTTTCGGCACATGTGTGCCATCTTCAGGTCCTGCTTCAATTGATGTGCTATTTGTATGGGTAAATTTACATGACAGCTACTCGGCTTTGCGCTTAGAATGCTACGCAATCTCTTCATATGTACAAGAACTTGCAGGGAGGGGTTCCCTCTCTGCATGCCTGGGGAACACCATGCAACCGTATGTGATGCTCCATGATTGGTTTCGCCTTGTTCGGAAACGTACACAAAATTTAAAATTAGGGCAAAGACTTTCTTAGATCTGACGTCATCACGGAGGTGACAAGACTGCCTGGTATATACGAGCGTATTCGGCGAAAATGAGAGAAAACGTCTGTAAGCATCTACCAGATCACATGGCGTCACATCCCAAAATATAGTAATCTTCAGGGAAGAGACTCCTCCCTTTGAATGCCAGGGAAACAAATGCTAATCTCCTGTGGCTAAGGAAAGAGCCTCTTACGCTCTGCGAATGGGTCCACACTTTTCGGAAATGCACACCTCACTTGAAAACAGAAGAACTCTACTTCACTTTAAGGCCTGGGGAAGATCAGGTAATACCATATTACTAACGATCAATTAGCCATCCGTGATTTGTTGACCAACGTGGGGGGGGGAGATAATGAGTGAGTGTCTGAGAGAGAGAGAGAGAGAGAGAGAAAGTGTGTGTGTGTGTGTGTGTGTGTGTCAAGACACGTGAACACCGGTCACGCGTTTCCCTCCAAAGCCGATGTCCGCAGGCCAAAGTTTAATAAACAGGAACTTGCACAGAGCGTCACAAAATACAAAATTTGTACGAGAAAACGGTGCAAATACCCCTCCTTAAACGGAAGAGAACATTTGTTCTGTGATTAAGACAGTGTGTGCGTGCTGTTCGTTTAACGGGAAGGAAAGGACGACGTAACACACAAAGCTGTCCGAAGAACATGATTAATCAAAACAAACGGGTCACAAAATACAAGTTGCTTTATCTTTTCTATTGACATTACCGTCTCCGGCGGACTAAAATATGCTCGGCAAACCTGAGGTAGAGGGCACCTATATACAGATTTACATATAGAATATACGAGTATATGAAACGGCATGTCTTACCGTAGTCATCTGGCTGATGGGAATGCGATCGGGCAGCACTTGCTCGAAGTCTATGCATTGTTGACCAGTTCCGAGGGACAGCCACCTAGGGGCGCTCTGACTGGCCTTCTGACAAGCGCTGCGAACAGTACACCTGAAACAAATAGATGTATTATACATTCTGCAGCCTTGTCTACTTCACAGTGACTATGGAACAAACATAAAGACGCGCTGGATAGCTACCGAAACAATATACAGGGCTCCTATTGGCCACAGGTGAGGGTATCCCTGTTTCATAAAGCGGAATACGGCCTCCACATGTTTTTTTTTGGCACTACAGCCCCAGTGGGCCTAGGCCTACTACCTCCACGAACTTCTCCGTTCACTTCGGTGTTTATAGATCTTACACATTCAGTAGGACTCCTTGGGGGGGTGATCAGCTCGTCGCAAGGCCTCTACCTGTACACAAACACAGAAAAACGCACACAAATATCCATGCCCTGAGTAGCATTCGAGCGAGCGAAGACAGTGCACGCCGGCCGCCACATCTCCCCCCCCCCTTGGCACTACAGCCCCAGTGGGCCTAGGCCTACCTCCATGAACTCCGTTCACTTCGGTTTTTCTAGATCTTACACATACGGTAGGACTCCTTGGGCGAGTGGTCAGCTCGCCGCAAGGCCTCTACCTGTAGACAAACACAGAAAAGCGCACACAAACATCCATGCCCTGAGTGGGATTCGAACCCACGATCTCTGCTTCCGAGCGAGCGAGGACAGTGCATGCCTTAGACCGCTCAGCTACCGTGACCGGCGGCCGCCACATCTGGGGCCACGAAAATATGCTGGCCCCAACATCAAGATCATTATACACTTCCAAACTCACACATAAATAATTTCATGCTTGCAAGTGAGTTACCGTGAATTACATCTGCAAGAAAAATGATACATTTCTTGGCATCTCGGATGGCGTCACTTAGAAACTAGGAAAATATTTGCCGTTCATTAGCACACTATTCTACCTGCTTAACTGAACAACAAACAATCTGTAAATCAATGATCTAATAAATTATATATCATGTAACTGGTAATTAATAACGTCCAGAATTCTAAATTTGATCTGCAACTGCCAGCAATCCGTACTGAAACTGGCGGAACATAACAGGATGCAACTCGCATGGCTGCCATGTTACATTGAAGCGAATGAGATTGCAATCAGTCCGCAAGAGCCGGATCTGGCCTTCCATTAAGAGGACTTGAACCAGCAGGTGGCATCTGGGTAGAAGCTGCCGAGCGGTCCATCAGGGACTCGAGGCAGAGGAGACCACCAAGAAGACTGAAGTCCACGCCTGAACAAGAAAATGCGAAACGATTCATTCGGAACCTGTGGAAAACGAACGAGGGGGCAATTACAGCTATACAAGAGTCAGGCGAAGCAATTGAGAGGGTTACTTACACCTGTCCGGGGCACGCTGTAGCGTAAGTGGTTGCGGCACTACGCTACAAGCCAGAAAGTTGCGGGTTCGAGTACCGATGAGGTGGATTTCTTTCAATTGACCCAATCCTTCCAACCACACTATTGCCCTTGGGTCGACTTAGCCTCTAACAGAAATTAGTACCAGGTATCTTCCTGAGGGGAAAGGGCAGCCGGCGCGTAAGGCTGACAACTTTCCCGCAATCTGTGAGCCGATTGTCTAGAAAATGTAGCACCCTCAACGTCTCACAACCCTATGGGCCTCCACGGCCTGTTACACGGTTAGCTTTACTTTACTTACACTTGCCACTTTAACAGGTGCCTATGAAAACTAGGATCGGTAAATAGGCACACCTTGAAAGATGTTATGACAAATATGAAATGGCCTCACAAGTTCCATTTAACTGTAACATTCTAGCTGAATCAAGCTATCTTAATCTGGGACTCAATTTGACCACGTCATACAACCATTAAAAGACACCATTAAACAAAGTACTGCGTATCATTCCATTTGAAATTCGGGAATGCTGCTGAGGGGGTTTACAACTGATCGTAAACGGTGGTAGCACGAGGGTAGTTTAATACCCACTTCTTTAATCCTAAACTCGTCTATGTTCAGAAATTCGCACGTGCACAAGATCTGTTCATTGTGAACTGTTTTCCATTTGTAACGTCTATGTTCTTGGAGTATGTACATACGGGGGCGGCGCCATAACCCAAGCGGTTAGTCGCTGGCTTCCCACCGCAGCGGCCCGGGTTCGATCCCGGGTCTGGTCAAGTGGGATTTGTGGTGGACAAAGTGGCGCTGGGGCGGGGTTTCTCCGAGGACTTCGGTTTCCGCTGCCCATCTTCATTCTACCAAATTCTCCATCATCATAATCACCCGGGGCAGGCTACAATAGACCAATCAGTGGCCGCCGTGCCGAGTGGACCCAGTTGGACTCCACCCCCCCAAAGCGAATTAAAAAAAATGTTCCTGCCGACTCCAGAGACATTATGAACAAACTATACACTGTTCATTCCTGTAGCTTCACAACTGTTTCCAGGCTTGTGCAGGCGATGGCTAGGAACAGGAGGGGGTGATACAAGTAGGATTATATTTGTCAGAGAGCGTTCGTTGATTTCTATAATCTGATGGAACCGTACTACATACTAAAACATTATTAATTCATCTACAATAATTACTAACGGTAATCAGGTTCACAACAAATAATTAACAAATGGAAATGCTAAGCTCGAACATTTTTGTTGCGGACGAGGATGGAGCGCACCGTTAATCAATTTTCCCGTTTTGTGAACTTCAGCATTTACATTAATAAACTCCACTTTATAATTGTTATATACGTGTAATTACCAAGGTGGACACCGTTAGTTACCGACTGTTTTTTGCAATCCCATGTCCAAACGTTTGAGAACATTATTAAGTCTGTAACCTCTGCTTGCCGATCGGTCTAAGGCATGAACTGTCTTCACCTGCTCGAACACTGGGATCGTGAGTTCGAATCCCACTCGAGGCATGGATGTCTGTGTGCGTTTATTCTATGTTTGCGTTGTTCTGTGTGTAGGTAGCGGCCTTGCGACGGGCTTGTGCCCCATCCAAAGGGCTGTAGCTCCATACAGAGAGAGATGATCTCCGACTAATCCCCGTAATATAGCAGGGGCGCTTCTGGCCAGACAGGCAAGTGCTTCTACGGGGTGTGCGCTAGCGCGCTGGATTTAACGTAAGTCAGGGCGCTACGATGTTGGTGAGTTGAATATGGCCAATGTACTGCCTCTGATTCACTGGGTTTCTGGATTTCGTCCATCGTCCGGTATTGCAGGAACTATAAAACACAACGTTTCGGAAACTGGATCTTTCCGTCCTCAGGTGAGGGGGAGGGGAAGATACCTACTCATTTGAGTCCCTCAGAAAGAGCTAACCTCAATCACTGGACGACTAGGTATCTTCCCCATCTCCTGAGGACGCAAACAGATCCAGTTTCCGAAACCTTGTGTTTTCCAGTTTCTAGAATACCGAACGACTGATGAAGTCCAAAAACCCAATGTTATACACCACTGTCAGAACCCTTTAGAATCTGAGTGTACTACCTACGTGTTCAGCGGCAGTTCTGGTAGAGACATGCAAAGCAGATGTCAAATCCAAGTGCAGCGTGAAGCTAATCAACAACGGAGATCGGAACAGGCTGAACTTCCATGGTATCAGCCCTATATAAGGCACTGCTTTCTGGAATTATTTTATGATTTACAAAAAAAAAAAAAATAAGAAAGTTCTAAGCAAGAAATGAATAGAATTTATGGAACTTACTGAAAGTACATAAATTAGCTAGAATTATAATAAATAAAATAGCATGCCTTCGAGTGTACAAGAGTGTGAATCTTTTGGATATCACATTGTAAATCTTCTAATTTAATGTGGATTGTGTAAAGCATAAAGTAGTGCGTATTTCTCCTTCAAATACTTCATTATAATTTAAAGAGGGGAATAGTACTGTTCCCATTAACTACAACAGAACGGAGCCTCTTAATGACAGCCTCACTATGCAGAGGTAAAACGGTCGTTTCAAACGAGCCTATGTTGAGTCACTGTAACACGAACCATTATAATCTGTGTGGAGGGTGAGTAAGGTAAATTCGTCCCTGTACTTAACTAATTAAGCACCATGCCATGAAGACGTATTGAGGAGTGGGTGTATAGACCCAGGTTTTCTTGACCTCTGTACTAGTTCTTAAGTGGCCAGGTTCACGCCCCGCCTGCTTTAGCCACGGGGAAATAGCCCCCGGTACTCACTGGATAGGAGGTTGGGTGGACCCCAGAGACGATCTGGATGACATAGCGAAGTGGAAATTCTTGCGTCCACCGGGACTCGAACTCCGTCCCCTTGGTCGTCCAGCTCGTAGCCAGTCGCTATATTGCGCTATCCGGGCTCCCCAGTCACAGGGGAATAACCATAACATTTTGTATGGGGAAAATGTTTCATATTTTCTATGAGGCGAGTATGACGCGAAATACAGGAGAAAAATTCATTTACGACTTTGCAGCGCGCTTAGTTCCGTAGCCGCTCGCGGAAGCAGACGTATACTCTGACAGCTCAGAACTGGTTAGCTCGAGAGGGCACAGGCCAAGCAGACACGCTATGAGAGGGACGGCCTTATTGTGGTGTAGAAGAGAATTGCGAGAGGTCAATTATTATACACATGTATATGCGTTTATTGCTGGCGAGTGTTCACAGTAACTAGCTAAATACTGTAGTGGAGGGGGGACAGGGAAGAACAAAACAGCTCACACCACGCTAAACAAAAAACACATAAATAAATCAATTCACTGCTACTTCGAATACGATGGCCGAAGCTATACAATCGTTTCTTTGGATCCCTTGTCACCACCGCTTTGCAAAACCTCAGGCTGCGGGCAGAGGCGACCAACTCGAAAGACAACTGCTGATACATCGAACAATCAGTAGCGGAGAGTCGAGTCGACAAGGGTTGAAACTCTGTCTTTCTGCTGGGGCTTAACGATCTCTCGTCGTGGAGAGTGAGCATATACGAAATCTTATGCAGGCTCTCCGGCCTGCTGTACTCGTGAGTACGCTAAATGGCCTTACAGGTTATAAGAGGCTTCACCGGTAAGCAAACGCGCAAGTATCTGAGTGGATCTGTTTGAATGAAAACTGATTACATTTCTGG